CTCAGGAGGCCAAGTGAAACGGTGGTTAATAAGCACTTGGTTTTAACAGAAAAGTTGGTAATTCGAACTAACTGCACTGTGGAGCCCTGGAGGAATAGCGATTACTTGTTGGGCTGGGATCCGCAAGCTCAGCAGTTCGAAACCACCATCCAACCCTTGGGAGGAAGACAAGACTCTCTGCTCCTGTCAAGAGTTACAGTCTCTGAAACTGACGGGCAGTTAGAGTCAGCATTGACTCTGTCAGTGAGTTTAGGAACTGCTCTGTGGGGGCAAGATGTGGTGGTCTGCTCTGGGGAGAGTAAGGCCTTGGAAACCGAATGGGGGCAGTTTCTAACCTGCCCTACAGGGTTTCTAGGAGCCAGAGCAGGTTCTGTGGCAATGAGTGGGTTTGGGATTTTATACGGTACGTATAGCATACATAGAGTGAGGTCTGGCAAGGGTCACAGTACGGCTGTCTCCTATCTGTGATCAGCCAGGAAGCTCCTCTGAACCTCAGGATTAAGGGTTCTTGGCTGTCTTGGTACATAGCCAAGATGAGTACCTTGTGCCTTGTGAGACCGATTCAGCATGAATCGGCTCCCCAGGTATATGTAGAAATTGTTGGATTGGTAGATGTCCTGCTGAGCATGTTCTAACAATAAGAAAATAAATTACTTTTTAAAAGGCTTAATAATTTATGACGAAGGGAAGAAGGAATTCTTCTTGTACCAGGGAAAGGAAATTGAATCTTCATGATTAAATAACAATTCATTTTTCTAAAATGAGATGCAACCTTTTACTAAACTGTTTAAGTTTACAATAGAAAAAGGTATGTTATTAAAACAAAAAGTTGCTAAGCACAACATTGGTCCAAACCCACCAGCCGCTCTGAGAGGGATGACGAGGCCGTCTGCTCCCACCAGGATCGATCGTCTCAGAAAGCCTGTCGGGGTCGCTCTGAGTCAGAGTGGACTTGATGGCAGTGGCTTTGGGCTTTGGCAGGTTATTTAAACGACTGCCTTCACAGTGGAGGAGGAAGGTGGCCAAAGGCTTGAGATATTTCTCCAAAGAACCTAGACAAATGGCCAATAATCACATGCAAAGACGCTCAGTATCCTTTTCTTATGTAGTTCTGATGCTACTAGAAATGGAATTGTAGGCATGCCATTTTCAGATTGTGTGCTGACTTTTGTAGAGGGAGCTTGTACACCGCAACCTCAACACTTGATCGTTCTGCCAATTTTGGTGGCTTTCATAGGATTGTCTACACACAAGGTTATTTCATCTACAAAAAGATGGACTTCTTGCTTTCCAATCAATGCCATTGATGTGTGTATGTGTGTGTTTAATTAACTTTTCATTTTGCCTAATTTCCCTGTCCAGAAACTCCAGTACCCGGTTGAACACAGCAGACATCCTTGATTTATTCCTGAACTTAGGAGGAAAGCTTTAAATCCTTTCCCACTAGGTCTCTCCATCCTTCTTGTTTTATGCCATCGAGTGGGCTCCAAGTCATAGTGATCCTGTGTCATACAAAGCAACCCTGTGCCATCTCCACAGTTGTCCCTGTGCTTGAGCCCATTGCTGCAGCTCCGGTCCAGCCCATCTTCTGAGGGCCTGCCTCCTTTCCCCCACAGCGTTGTCCTTTCCCAGGGACTATACTCTCCTGCCAAGATGTCCAAATTGTGAGGTGCAGTCTCTCCATTCTCACGTCTAAGGAGTATTCTGGCTGTACTCCTTCCAGGACAGAGGTGCTCATCCTCTGGCTGCCACAGGATAGTTAGTGCCCTTCACCAGCCCACCATTCAAGCACATCAGTGCTCCCTCGGCCCTCTCTACCCATTGTCTAGCGCTTGCATGCATATGAAGCTATGGAAAATACCATGGCTTAGGTCTAAGTTGTCTTTCTTATACTGTAAAGAGCTCTTCTGCAGCAGACTTACCCGATGCAATGTCATTTGAGTTCTCGACTGCTGCTTCCATGGGTGTTGATCGTAGACCCAAGTAAAATGACATTTCT